ACGTGATGANGACAGAAACAAAAAAAATAAAACAATAAATTGTAAAATCAATACATTCATCGCTCCGCTCGGAATCTAAAAGAAGTTAAAAAGTTAAAATTGACATAACTTTAATTTTTTAACTCGTATACACCCAGGTTTGAATAACTACAAAATTTTAGAATATTTGAACGCCTGTGTCTATTTATTTCATTACTATTTATTATATTACATAAAGATACCTATACTAGTATAAAAGTATATTTTTAAAAATCACTCGTACGGGGTGATGTCTATTTCAAGTACTTAAAAATAGGTTATAATTATAGAATTACCCTACGATCAGGGAGCAGAAAAACGACGTCGACGAGCAGCGTTTGTATATTATTTGATCTCTCGTATTTTATGCATTTGCTCTCAGAAATAAAATATGTGTGTACATAGAGGCAGCATATTTTTCATGAAATTAAATAAAAAATTTAAAAAATAAATTAAAGCACCAATAAAGTATGAAACCAAAATTAATTACATTAAACATCGACGCTTTCGGGCTTCGGCGGAATTCCTGATATTGTGTGTGCAATGCGGAATAAATCAGATATACGACTGAACTTAAGTCTGAAAATATTGAGATTTATCATGAAAAAAAAACCGTACGGATCGCTTCATGTTTCTTGTTCATGTCTGCAGCTTTGCTCACTGAAATTATAGATCGATTGCGTCTTTGCAACTACTTCGACAATCGCCACGGATTGCATTATAATTTATACTACGTCAATATGATAAGACCATAGATATATATAGTATATTACAAAATTGTATAATATCAAGGAGGTCCGTATTTGAGATTTGATCATTAAGATAATGAAATGAGGTATAACAATACCCAAAATAGTTTATAATTTTAAAATTTAAATTACAACAATATATAAAGTATCTATTATTTTAATTTTTAATTTAATAATTAATTAAGGTGGTGTTTACATATTCGAAGCACAAGCATATAATATTTTTATGAGTTATTAAATAAAAATCTTATTGTAAATAAATGTGATTACTACCTTTTAGATTTAACATAAAGATATTCAGTGCCTAATGCATCACAATTACCGTATACCGACTATACAAACTATAGTTTGTAAAATTCCAAGTTAAATCTTTTCTCTGAATACTGTCGAGCACGAAATTAATAATTAATATTTTATGTATTAATTTTGAGTGCATTGGTTAGGTGTATTTTAAGCTATTCGAGAATATTTAAAATTTAAAATTTCCTTATTTAATTTCCGATAGATATTCAATAATCAGCAGAGCGACTTTCCCAACTTTATAAAATAATTTGATGTTTGATGTACGACAGCGTCACTTTAATTCGCGGTTCGGCCACAAGTATAGACGGCATATAGTAATATTCATATTCATATATTACTTAACATTTATATGAACTAAAAATAAAAATTGTTGAATTTTGCGGTACACAAGAACTCCCGTGTACTGTATTATTATAGTATGACTAGCATGTACAACACTATTTATATTTATTTAATTGTATAAATATGTTATTATTCTGCAACCTGGATATGCCGTCGTCGTTTGAGCTATAAGCGTATTTTTTGTGTTGCGTGCTCGGGAACAAAAAATATGCCCCTACTTCACCCGAGCAGCAAATTATCTGTGACAAAAAATTTTAATTTTGAGACTAAAAAGTAAAATATGTAAGCCCCAAAAGAATAGGTAATCAAACTTACGTATACATCGACTCTTCGGGTAATATATAGCGGCAAGGCCACATCTTGACTGCAGACGCCATATCGAGGAACTTCTTTCTTCATCTAAACCCGAACTGAAAAATCGAGATTTTTTATAAAAATTACTTGAGTAAAATGAAATATGTGAGCAAATGTTTATTGTTGCCTTACTAATTTCTCTTTTGTTCAATGAAATTATTAGAATTGTGAATCGTCTCCGACGAGTGACGACGATCGGCTTTTGCCATAGATGATAGATATTATAATATAATATGTTGTTATCAGTTTTCGAGTTTTTGAATTCTTTGGATGACACGATACATTTTTTATTTCAGATTCCGAAACATAATATTATTCGGAGTGTTTAAATCTACACAATTCAGAACGCGGAACTCTGCGTGTAAACCATTTAGATACACTACTGTCGCGAGTCAATTTTTTTGTCCGGCATCTCACAATATTGTTTTTAGTCTTAACGGTTAAACTATAACTTAATATAAAACTCTAGAAGTGTCGAGACATGAAAAAAATTCAAAATTAAGCTTTGAAATTTACAGAAGTAATAAAAAAGTGGATACCTACTTTAATCGTGAATATAATATTCTCTCTGTGCTCGGCATTAATATATTATCAAACAATATTATTCTATAATAGTGTGCAGTATTTGCTAAAAAATTGTGTGATTATATTATACTACTACACTTTAGTGTAGTAAATACGTCGAGAACTATACCAAGTCCAACAATAATTTTAAAATCATCATTCAGCAATCTCAATAATTTGGAGTTTATAGTTGGAAAGAATACAGTCAAGTAAAAAAACTAAATGCACATAACTAAACTGTTTGGGATTTTTAAATGTAACGAGAATTCTAGTTAATCATTTATTTATTGAAACAGATTAAATTACTGAATATCAAGAGTACTCATTGTCTGACTTGCAGTGTAGTCTGGCAATTGTCAATAACAGGTATTGTATAAAATTATTTCAAAATAATATATTATTTAATTAATTGTTTTAAATAATTTTTAGATATATATTATCCGGAGCAGTTTTCTATGAACATGATCATTATATAGCGTATGTACGCAGTGTAAATAGATGGGAAGTGCACAAAGATTTGGCAAAAATAATTAAAAGTACCCCTAGTTCAGCAAAAATAAAACCACATGTAATTTTATATGTGAAAGAGTAAAAAAAAAAGACATGCACATTGGTACAAAAGTCAACTATAAATTATATTACTATAAAAGTAATAAGAATCAATATTTTATTAAATCAGTTTCATTTTTTTCAATTTTCCTTTTACCAATAATTCTATTATAGTGACATGACTCCAGGATTCGACACCAAAATGAGAAAAAGTCCGCAAAGGATTGAAACAGTCTGGTGGCGAAAAATGTTTTTGTTGTATCAACCTGACGTTTTATAATAAATGACGAGAACTATGAACCACGATTTCTAACATTAATAACTCATAAAGTAAATTTAAAATGAATAAAATTTGAAGATCTGAAATACATATTCTTTTTATTAGCAAAACAAAATAAAAAATGTTATTAATTAATGTGAGCTCTTATTTGATGGCCACGAGCTTATAATATTCATGAACTAACTGTTATGTTCCTACAAATATAAAGTAAAAAGAATAAATAAATAAATTTAAAAAAATTAATTATTAATTTATGTTTATTGTAATATTGCCATGTATTAAGACTATAAGGGTAAGAAACAATTATTCTATATTAAACTTATATTAAATAGTAGCCTTATATATTGTGTAAAATACTTCTGTAAGTAGTATCTTTCAATTGTGTGTTACATCATATTATTTTAAATTATACTATAAACTATACCTATGTATAAACACAAATGATTGGTATGATTTTTGGACTCAATATTATAAATAAGTTAGCGGCTATTTGCAAAATTTTAGCAGCATATTTCAATTCGTAGCTCAAAAGGGGGTGTAGCGTGAAGTTGCCCCCCATCTAGGATAGTGCATGTTTTGCTATTCGAATTTATACATTTGAAAGTTACTATAAAATAAAATTCTGTTAAAACGATTACGAGCTGAGGTTTATCTATAGTCTGTAAATTGTAATTGACATTATTGCGTTGAATTTTCAAGGTGCTGATTAAATTGTTTTTAAATTATTATTATTTGTATTTAGTCATTTTAAACTTGTTGTCTACATACATGATACATGTCTGTATAAAACGGTTAATTTGTTGGTAAAATTATCACTGTATGGTAAGTTGTCGTATGGGTGTTAAAAGTGTTGTCGTATAGATAATTAGGATTTATTCATAAAGGTCAAATAAGTAGTAAATCGTGTTTTTTATTTTTACAATTACACTATAAACTGCTGTATGAGTATAGTATATATCAAATTAGCTGTCCTTTCACTGCGCCGACTGTGTATTATATAGCTATATAAAAACCCCCCTTTACCCCTTAGAGGTCGAAATTTGAAAAACAATTTTTTAGTGCTCCCCTAAATTGCTTTTATTTTGCTTTATTTTTATATACATAGATACATTTTAGAATTTTACTTCTTATCATATCTACACGCTGATCAAACACATAGTTAGACGGACAAAAAGTTATGGTTGCATGTCGCTATGGAAACCCAGAGGTTGCCGTGCTGTAAAATAAGAATATAGATATAGATATATATTATTTGTACGTAAACAATTTATTTTTGCCGGTTTCAACTCTTTAAAATCAAAATTTTGATAAATCCTTTCTTAGTGGGAATTTACATTATAATATTCCATCCTCAAAATTTCAATTTGATAACATAAATAGGTTCGGCTCTGCGCTGATCATTGCTAAAGTAACTTTCCTTTGTTCATAGAGATTAATACCTATGTACTCGTACTATAAATACATACATTTAAGTATATAATATTATACCCTAAAATATGATGTAATTATACCATACTCATTTTTTATCAAAGAAACAAAATTAACAAAAATACTAATTATCTTGGTCAATTTTTTTATATTTTGATTTTGCTAAGTCGTTTATTATATATTATAAGTAGGGCTCGGAACTTATTGCATGGAAAACTATGAAAATATGCATGCAAAAATGCATTAAATTATCATAAAAAATGCACAAAAATATGCAAAAAAAATGTTATATGCACTCAAATATGCAATTAATTTTTTTATTTTAAATGTGTAATAAAAATGTGTAAAAATAATTTATTATTTTATAACAATTTTGAAAATCTTAGTAAAGATTGTAGTTATACTATTGTGATCTAAAAGTTTTCTTCAAGGTTTTCTTTTAACGGCTCTGTAAAATAAAACAAATTTTCCTTTATACTTACAATTTTTACTGATTATTTTATAAGTTATTTTACCTTGGAAATTGCATTGAATAATTAAAGATTTTTTGATATTTTCGAACTTGAATGAACGTCGATTGAAAGTAAGTAAATTTTTGTACATCGAAAATGAACGTTCTACGTCAACTGATGTTATTGGACAGTTTTTAAAATATGTGAGATCATTTAAATTCGAATCTTCGGGTAAACCATATGTGTCTTCTTTTTTTCCATTTAATATTTCTGATATTTTGAAAACTGCTTGATAGCCTTTATTTTTTGATAAAACAGACTCAATCTTAATTTTTATTATATTCCCCATTACTCCATTAATTTTAATTAATTTTTCTTTGGCTTCTTCGACAATAGAAATTGAATCTATCAGTGGAATTTCTTGATTTTCAAGTCTTGTTATTAAATCTGGTAAAAATCCAAAATTTGATTTTATAAATACTAGTTGTGATTCAATATTTTGATCCGAGAGATACTTTTTTGAATTTTTTATTGAAACTGCATCATTGTCATCAAAATAATTGATGATTAACCGTCCATATTATCCATAATATTGTGGGAAATAATCTACGTCGTACTTAATAAGGATGTTATATGCATAAAAAATGTATTCATCATAAAAAAATGCATGTTTTCATAAAAATTGCAATATATGCAAAAATATGCATTTTTTTTTGGCGTTTTTAAATTCACTACAACTTGAAACAAATTTCTGTCTTACTTAGCAATTTTTTGGACTATTCAATAAAAATATGCAAATTCAATAAGTCCCTAGCCCTAATTATAAGTAATAGTTTGAAATAAATATTTAGAGTTTCTATGAGCTACGTTATGTAAATATATGTTATAATGTTTTAGTGTCTTTTTATATTTTTATCATCAATCCACTAATATTAATGTAATATTATAACTTAGGTTATATACGTATGTTATACTGTAAAATCCTTATATTTGAAGTACTATTATAGTAAGTATAAAGTATATATATTATAGGTTGTAAATATATATTTTTTTAAACTACTCTACTTCAGAATACCCATTTGGATTGTAATATAAATTTATAATGTAACTATGTAAATTTATAATAATATTTGCAAAATAAATTTAATATAAATTTTCGATATTTTCATTTTAAAGCATGGATACAAGTATGTGAAATAACAAAAATCAAAAATGCTCATATCTCGCTTGAAAATTAAAATATCCAAAAATCCGCCGACACTTAAGCATAGATGATGTTCTTACCAAAAACTTTGATAATCGGTCAATTCACTCTAATATCAAAACCAGCAGAACACTAGGTATTGAAACTAGTGAACGTAAATGTTCTATGCCGTACGTGTGTAAGTCGGAGACAACAAATGCATAGGAAGCGTCCTTTTAAATTATCGTTCGAAGTACATCAATGTACCTTATTTACAAATGTTGGTTATTTCGATGGAATTAAAAAAACATTATTACATATAATAAATTTTACAATACCACATGACATTTTCAAAATATTTAGATTAATGGTGGTTAAAAATGAAACACGAACACAACTTGTATGCTAAAAGAACCGTATATTTTGTACCTCAATGGCAGCAAAAATAAAAGAATCGATGATCGAAGAAATCAAACGATTGAATTCTGCTGTAAGTGAGAGAACAATATACTTAATTTACGATGAAAAAAAAAATAAAATCAATTAATTTAATGTGTTACGAACGACTAAACGAAAGACAAATCAATATAATATTATAATAATACAAAAAATGTATACAAAGACATTTAATGTAGATGAATGGTGTTAAATTTGAATTCAATGATATGAAATCAATTTATACGAAAAACGATTCTGAGCGAAGACGACCTGTCAGCCTATGAGATTACTTAGTATATTTAATGTTATTATTGTGGTTCAAGTAATTTATTTAACTATTAGAAATTAGTACTATAGTCCGAGTAGCAATTTCAGTGCAGCGAATGTGTAAATGCAATGTAGATAGTAGGTTAACTTTATTTTGGCTAAAAATAATTACATCGAAAGTTTCATTGTGTAAATAAAATATAATACTATACCCTAAAATTTTCATATACTAATATTCCAATGAATAATATTTTTAAATTACAACAAAATGATAAAAATAGTTAGTTACCTATTGTTTGTGTTAATATGTAATTTCATCCAAATTTGAGCTTAAAATAATTATAATAAAACCAAGTTTATACAGAATATTGTAACATTGTTTTAAATTTTCAATCCTTAGCCATAAAAGTTGAAAATTTTTTAATTTTTAATTACAAAATCATTTTTAAATTTTAAATTTGATACATTTTGTCAACATTTTAAATTTAAATGTTTGTAAAAAAAAGTGTTCATGTATATTTCAATATTTTTCAATTGCTATTATAACCATATATCTGGAGTCTTGTATTACATTTTAACGATTTTTGTCCCGACACATACAATTTTATTGACATTTATAGAAAAAAAAACTAAAAAAGTTTAAAATGTCCATAAACAGCTCAAAAAAATCAAAATATTTTGAAAATTTTATTAAGTATATAGAAATTGATAAAGTTACCATATGGTTCAAATTCAAGTATCGACAGTTATTCATTTTTGAATAAAAACAAAATAAAAACATTAATTGTTATAAATTTCTAACTCAAAATAATTTGCATATTTTCGTGATTTTACGTATTTTATCAACATTTTAACTTTAAATGCATATAAAAAATTGTGGCTATGTATTCTTAATATTTTCTGACTTCCCTAATCCCTTGTAACAATAAACTTAGATCTTAGTATATTAAATATACAAGTTGTATGATCCAACGAATAAAAATGTATGGACAAAAATTTAAAAAAAACAAATAAAACTCGACATTTTCTTAGGCCTATTAATAGCTCACAAATAATAGCCACAATTATTCGATAACGTTATGGTACATAGAAATCGCTAATATAAACATTCACTAAAAATTTAATCTATTAACAATTATTTTTTTACAGTCAAAAAGCAAAATCGATGTTTTCAAAAATTGATTTTGAGTTAAAATCTGAGTGTTTACTTAATTTTTTGTTTGCTTATCTTTCCACTTTTGAAAACTACTAAGGATTTTTTTACTTCTGGCTCTTCAAAGTACCAACTAGATTTACTTTTATATCAAAACAGAAGTTGAAGAAAATCGAAGCACTTTACTACCCCAAAAGATACTACAGACTAAAAAAAAATCACACATCATTATAAAATTAATATATTCATCCCGCCGCCCAGAATCTAAAACAATTAATTGGATTAGAATAACTCCATTGTTTTCGTGCTAAAATAAATGGCATGAGTAGCAAAATCTGGTTATCCCATTGGATGGATTGGATATAATTAGCTAGGTAATCATGATGCCTGTGGTTGTTAGGCATTTAAATGTTTATGTGTGCGATTGAGTGGTTCCTTGAGTTCCTTCTACAATAATTTGTGCTAGAAATACCAGGTTATTGTTAAGAAATTTAAAAATGTGGGCCAACTAGTTGCAGCCGATTATACATCTGTTTAAAATGTCTTGCGCCTCTGCGGCAACACATTTACACACTAATATTACTTCAGGTGTTACAAAGAAACTAATAATGTATCTATATGAAGTTTACCATCGAATGGCAAATTGTATTAAACTTATTTTGAAAACTTAACTATCAACTTATTAAGAACATTGCTTATTTCATTTCCCAAAAATGAATATTTTCGGTATACTTATTAGTTATTACAATCTCAAAAGTTTATTGAAAATAAAGTAGATTGAAGTGGCTTGGTTCTATCTACATTCACCCAGCAAAACAAATAATATTAGTCTAGCTCTTATAAAGGTACTTAATTATTTTATAATGGAGGTAGGTAAAACATTTTATATTTCATTTTTGAGTGAAAAGTTTGATATTGTATTTCAAGATTCCATGTGAGTTGTTCATACCTCATTTGAAAAATAATGAAAATACCGGCTTATTATTCATACATTCTTTTACAAGCGTTTAAATTTTTATAGTTAACATTTTTACGGAACAGTGTTAGAAATTCATAAATTATTTAAATTTGAATACCTGGGATTGAAATATTAATACAAGATTCCTTATAAGTTTTTTTCCAAAAAAAAAAAAAAACATTTATGTAATTGCAATCGAAGTTCAAATTTTGAAATATTGGATAGTCAATAACGTAAAATAAAGTTAGATACGTTATACATTTTACCATACGAAATTACATTTTTGGAATATTAAGAGATTAATTTCTAGTAATTATTTACTTATATATTTTGTAATAAAATATGAACCTATTCACACTGCGTTCTACGGTAAGGTGGTAGGTACGAGACCCAAAATGTAATAGCATTGGTTAGGTAAGGTACCTGTGTAATAAGCATAATGATATCCATACTTGATAGTTGATTGTCAAAGAAAAATAATTAAATTATCAAACTAAATGAAGCTTTACTTCTTTTATTGTACTAATTATTTTTTATAGCTCTGTTAATTATTAACCGAGAATAAATAAACCAAAATAGGCAATCCAGATTGAAGTTTCACTTGTCCATCTATATTCATCCTGCAGCTCAAATAATGTTAGTTCTCTATTATAGGTACTTTATTATTTTTAAATGTACGTATAACATTTTTAATTTTTAAGTGAACACGTTTGGGGATCAAAAGTAAAAATATATCGTAGATACATTAATTTTTATCGAAAGTTTATATTCATATTTTTTGTCACCATAACATTTTCAAAATATTTTTACTCGTGTTGAACTGTTGATATTCATATGAAATGTTCGATTATTATTAGTTTTTTTTAAATTAATGTCGATACAAAACATTTTGCTCTTTCAAAAAACTTGAACCTAATACAAGGTTCTTAGTAAGTTATTGTTAGTGGAAATTAAAAAAAAAAGTCGAACATAAATAGACGGTAATATTTTATGAACATTTGAATTTAAAATTTCAACAACATTCGTAAAAATCAAGAACATTTGAAAATGATTTAGAGTTAGAAGAAATGTCCTATTTATATCTAAGATAAGAAAATGTAATACAAGATTCCTTATGAGTTTAAATACTTTTAACCAGAAAAAAAAGTTTACCGGAATGTAAAATTCAATTTGTATGAGCTTTTGAAGTAGGTACATATTCTTAACAACATTGGATGTTCACTAACGATTTCTCATTGAGCGATTTTCTTATTTAGTTTTAATTCAAAAACAAATAGTTTTTAACAGTTTTTTTATAGCTATTTAATGTTCAGATTTGGACGAATTTACATATTGAATAATCAAGAATAACGATTAAGTTGTTTTCTTGTAATTTAAAAATATTATTCGTGGGAGCTTAAAACTTCTAAAGTAAATTATCATGAAAATCGAAAATCTTCAAACTTTAAATAATTCAATTCAGTTCGTAAAAAAATATAGCATGCTACGAAATGTTTTTACACTATACTATACCGCAGAACATCTATAGTTCTCAATTTTTATTTTTATTTAAGAATATATAGTTCTAGTATGGGTCGACTTCGAAATTTTGATTTAAGGGTGACAGCCTGACGGACCTGAATTTATGTTCCCTCAATTTTGCATTAAATCGAAAACAAAATCGATTTTGTCAAAAGCTGGCTTTTGTTATGTATAATAGTCTCTTATGCCACGTATAATAGTGATAAGACATATGTTTAAAAAGGTTTGAGCCTCTGTAGCTGTGCTTAATTTGCAAACTTATTATTGACTCAGGTGATAAAAATAAACCAAGAATGAACTCATATGAAGTTCACTGACTAATGGCAAATTGTATTAACGAATTTTATTTATAACTTAAAAATTAGCAAAGAACTTATTATGAACGTCATCTATGAATCATTTTTGGTATACCTATTTCATTACCAAAAATTGAAATTTGAATGTGCATGGCTATGCATTTTTAAAGTTTAGATGAGTAGATTGACGTGGCACAAATAAGTCACCTATTGGTATTTTTTTTATTATTATTTATACAACTTATAGTTCGACTATTACAATTAAAACATGTGGCACATGTGAAATCGAGTAAATTAATCGTGGTCAGTTTTATACAGGATGATCCAACAAGTATAATCACCCCCCTTTTTTCTTTAATAATGAAGTTTTTCAAAATGAGATCTTTGGAATCTTTAAATATACTCAAAGACCATATTTTCATATTCTTGAGTTTTTTGTGCCACTTAAGGAGTGTCCTGTGGCGATACGAACCTTTATTTTTAAAATGAGAACCCCACTTTTTTTCTTTAAATTATTTAGCTGATAATTTTTTTGAGAATTTTGATGTATCGAAATCAAAATTCGAACTAGCGGTTTCCTTAGTTATTGGAGAATTTGTACTAAGGATAATAGTCCATAATAGGGATATGCTTGTACAGTTCTACACATGGAATAAAAAAAATTAATTAATAAATCAAGAAGGATTTTACTTGCTATATACCTAAGTGTTTGACTTAATAAATATATAAAATGACGTATTATTTTATATTATCTGTATAGACTATATAAGACAACGTATACTGTAGATTGTATAAGCATATCCTTCTTCCCTATTATAAACTATATTATCCTTAGCACAAAATGTGTAATAATTAGAAAACTACTCGTTCGAATTTTGATTTTCATACACCAAAATTCTCAAAAAAATTATTCGCAAAATAACTTACAGTAAAAAAGTGGGGTTCCCTTTTGAAAAACAAAAGTTTGTATCGCTACAGGACCCTCTTTAAGTGGTACGAAAAATCTCAAGATATGAAAATATGATCTTTGAGTATATTTAAAGAATCCAAAAGTCAGATTTTGAAAAACTTCATTATTAAAGAAAAAAAGAGGGTTGAGCATACTTGTTGGATCACCCTGTATATATTATAATTGATTAATAATATACCTAAATATATTATTTGGGATAATAAATAAGGTTCAAATGTTCAATTATACCTAAAAATCTACATTAGCTAGGTACCTATTATATTTTTAATATACTATTGTATATTTTCTTATTTCTTTTTTAAATGATGGCTTACAAGTTTTAATAAAATGATGTACAATTTCATAAATATTTATAACATGATTATATAATATTATAGAACTTATTTAAGTGACGACAATACATGATCTTGAAAATAGTGTTACACAATGTAATTATTAAATAATAAATAATGACAATAGTAATTCTGACACTGCGTAGAACAATTGGAAATTTGGAATATTTAGAGCAGAAACATTTTTGAATATTATTAGTAATTGTTGGTGGGGGGCTATTTTACCAATTGCGAGGGATTTTTTTTACTTATTTTTAATTCAGTTCATTTTTTCTAGATTCCTATACTCAAGTTGTATTGTTGTACAATGTACATACTAAAATATTGTGACACTGGTGTAAGAAAACAAATTGCTTTGGTTATAGAAACCATACAATCAATAAACTGGTTTGTTTCAAATTTTATTTATTAATTAAAAATGTCCTAAGAAATTTTATAGAATAAATGAATTCCCATTTCAGAGTATCGTGTGTTATTCTATAAGTATTTGCACTTACTGAAAAGTACATTAGTGATAGGTATACACCGTATACCAGGGATGGCAAACCTTCTTGTACCAGGATGTCAAATAAAAATTTTGTTTGGATTTTGTTTTCCCTGAGTGTCAACTAGTTCAATAACCCTTCAATTTTTTTTAAAAAAGCTTTAATATTATTAAACTTTTATACATTCGTGTGTGTCACTAAAATATAGTGTGCGCGTTTCATAGGTTCATCATCTCTACCTTAAACAAACGGATACGCCCCACTCCACCACGGTATACACTCATGCAAAAGTGTGTGCATTACTATGATTATAGCCACACATTTTCGTGTCGGCTTCAAGCTATCGTGGCATCTATTATATCTAATGTTAAATACACACTATTTACTTAAATATTAAAAAAAAAAAAAATTAAATGGTATTCAGCGACAATAAGAGAATATATATATATTCTCTTGTTATATTATATTAGTTGTCAGTAAATAAACACCTCATTGAAAAATATGATTCATGTTGCACTGACGGAGTGTGGTTGTGAATACTTCGCTTATAAAAGAAATCGATTTTCAATATTTTATTTCATTTATTGTTCAACGTTCACATTATTATTTTCTATTATTTTATTATATTGAATCAAAATGAGTTTTATTCAGTCATATTTCATAACTCTTACATTATTAATCATTTCAGTTTTGGTTATCCATGCAGCTCCTGATTACAAAGAAATACTTTTAAATGGTAAAGATTTATTAATTTACAATGATTATACAGAATTCATATTTGATATTCGAAATTTGTCACCAATGAGTTGTATAATACTTCAGTTAAATAATAATTTTAATTTTGGGATAATCTAGATGTATTGTAGTTATAATTGTATAATAAAATATAACATATGATGATTAAATATTTTTTATAGTTTACCTAATTTGTAGCGAATAAACAAGATTTCAGACTAAAAAAAAACGATTTTTTTCAGTTCTCTGTCAAGGTAATATTTTTAATTAATAAAAGGTTACAAAAATAAGATGATTAAGTATTTGAAAAAAATTAAAAGTTAAATGTATATTATGTATTTTTAAATTTTGGTTGATTGATGTTAATTATTATAGATATTAGGAAAATATACTAAAAAGTTCATATGTAATGTTAAGTAAGATCTAGTGGCCCATGGTTGGATCAGTAATAACAGTTCAACTAATCAATTATATTTGATACCTCCTTAAGCATTATTCTATAATAATTTGTTTGAATATTTTTAAAACTTAACAGAGCTTCACGAATTGAGTACAGGATTAAACAGTAAGTTGCAATTAACAAATAATTAATTTCATTACATTTGGTTTATTTTTAAAATCATATTGGACATAATTATAACTTTTGTAGAGTATACTTTTGTTAATTAGACTTTTGAGATTATATAGTTGGATATTTGAATATTGTGATAATGAAGTTCAACTATTGAATATGTTGAATTTAGTTTTATATAAGTAGTTATTATTAATAACTTAATAATTATTATAATACATTTTTTAGAGGTTACTAGTAAGTATATTTTTATTTCCTATTTTACTTTATTTTAATAAAATGTATTACATTAGTCCGTGTGAGATTTCAAGATTATTTAAAGTTTTGACTATCTTGTACATTAGAGCTTTAATGTGCATTTGTAGTTAAAAATATACATTGAAGTTCAGAAACAATATAGTACTTGAGCCTCAATTTAAGTATGAGAAATTGTTTTTCAAAAATGTCACGTTCAAAATGAAATTATTAATCGCTGTTATTTAAAACGTTTTTATATTAAAGCAGAAGAAAAGTTGAATTCACAAACTAATAACTAAACATCCTTCAAATAAAAAGCACACACATACTTAATGGTATTTTCAAATATGCACTCTTAAATATGCAAGTAGTAAATATTTTTAATATCCATACATCAGAATTCATACACATTTTCATTACTTAGCAGTAGAAAAAATCAAAACATTGAATAAAAGTTAAAACTGTACATTTCATATTGTATTATTAATAACTTTGGTATATTATACATTTTTGTGCAGGTGATATACGTAAGTATATTTTATGTTAGTTGCCATATTTTTACTTTCTCTTCTTCTCGAATGACCAGATGACAAATCGAAAATCGTTGTTAGATACTTATCTATATTCAGTCTTATAAAGTATGCGAGCAAAAGTATTTGAGTAAAAGTATTCAAATAATTTTTAAGTTCTCAAATTCGTATTTTAAATTCTTATTGAAAAGTATATTAACAAGGAATTTAAATACTTTAGCTCAAAGTATCTCAAATTAAAATATATTACTAATGTTCAAATCATTTTTCGTTTATTTTATACTTGTTTCACTTAAGTTTTCATTTTATTTGTACAAAAATAAAATAAAATATTTGTTGGTTTTTTTTTCTGCGACTAGAAGCAAACCGAAAAAATTAAAAGTTCGACAAAAATATTAGATGTGTATATTTTGATAGTTACCCCAAATGATAGTTGTAAAATATTCTATAAAATTGACGTTACACATGAAATTTAGATCTGTGGAGTTCTTAGGTAAAAAAAATGTACTTATAAAATAATTGAAAGTAGGTATTTGAAAGTCTCTACAATTACTTTTTTTTTACCGAGTACTCTATTATGTTATTCTATAACCTAATATTTCTGTTTGACGTGTTAGGAGTCTTTCAGTCCGCATTGACTTTGTAGCTACAGCTAGAATTATACTCTTCGAATCTGTTCGGATTGATAACTCTAATCTCGGATATGACTAAAATAAATTTTTAATTTTATAAATTCAAGATTAAATTTTGATGAGTGAGAATATTACACACAGTAGACATCACGATCTCTACAGAATCGTATAATAATTATTCCAATTCGACCACAACGTCTTTATCAAGAGATCAAAATTACTATAAAATAAATATATTGATAAAAACAATTTAAATATGGAAAAAGTGGAATTACTTTCAGTTTCAATTCAACCGCATAAGATAATATATTCCAACATATATTTATGTACATAGTTATTAATTTTTGAAACATTATTTACAGAGAATGAAGGTACAAATTATTTATTGATTATTAATATGTAATAGGTTAGATATACATAATTTTTTTGGTTCCTGTCTGTTCCTGTCATATAAATTAAAAATAGATGTGATTTTTGTGAAGTTCATACAAATTTGAACTTTCACATAGTTTATAAAAAAAATTATAGCTATGTGTTTTTTATATTCTTTATAGCAGTTGTAACTATCGAGGAACCGTTCAACCGTGTATTACATGTTGAATTTATTTTAACTATGATAACAGAAATTGTACATTAAAGTCGACAAACATTTTGAATATTTAAAAATAACAAAAAATGTCAATGTATTTTTTAAATGTTGTTTATTTTTTGGATTTACAAACTATACAATAATAGTAGAATGAGTTTAATGTGAATGAAATAATAGGAAATGAGGAGGTGAAAAAATGACAATGAGTTTTTGCATGTTCAAATGGGCAGTGTAAACTATGTCATACCTAGTAATTGCCATTATACAATTTGGTGAAAATTTCAAATCTGTATCTGTGAGGAGTAGCCAAATTTTAGTTTAGTGTTCTGTTTCAAATCTAGATATTGTTTTAAAATTAATTATATTAATCTTCACAACATTAGAACCCCCACCCGTTCTTTCTCTTAATTAAATCTTACTTAACCGATCGACACTTCCAAGTACATTATCGCTCTGCATACTCAGAAGTAAACAAAATAAATGCTGGCGTCCCACAAGGGGGAATATTATCTCCAACTATATTCAACATCTATGTCACCGATCAGCCTACCGCGTTAAATTAATAAAATATAGATAAAAATAACTTATAGTATTGTTAAAGTTAAAAATAAGTATACTTAATAAATACATTAAATAAATAATAACGAATATAATCAAACTTGACGTGTGCAATGAATGTTGTATTCCATCACACAAAGTGAACGACCGGATTGTGAAAAAAACTACACGATGTTAGATTGGAGTGACCACTTCATGAAAAAATGACCATTTTGTGAAATATTTTCGAATCTCACGAAGTGTAAAATATCCGTTTCCATTTCATGAAATGGTCATCTTTTCATAAAAAGTTCGATTTCACGAAGTGGCTACGACATATACACAATACATGTATAATATATACAATTTCAACCATCAACAATAAAAAAAAAATAATAATATATGTATGAAGAGCTCATGCTAAGTGTGGCCAGTGGGCGGCTTCTTATTCAATTTCTCACGTCCTTTATTTGCTTAACGCATAAGCTTATTGTACATTACTTGTACAGATTGTTTATTTCTAATAAAAAAAAAAAAACATTAGATTTATTCTATATTGAGTGATTAGATACATGATAAGTACCATTATGTTATTAAGAAATTGTTATTATAAAAATGAGTGTGTAAATTGATCATGTGATAGTTTATTGATCTCAATCCCAATAAAATCATAATCTTATATACTTGTAATTTTTTTTTTTATTATTTGATTAAAGTCTTCAATTACAAAGATTATTAGCCTAGTGTTATTTACAAACTAAAAGTATTTATATGATATTAAAAAAGAGTAAAAAATAAAAAATAAAGTCTATGCTATAATGTTATATACAGGAGTATTATAATTTATGAAATAAAAAAATTAGCTTGAAAAAATTAAAAATATTGGCGATGTTGGTTTGATTGTGGGCTTCTTCGAGTGATGTAGCATTTTTGAGGAGGAGACGTGCAGATGCGAACTTGGGACAGTTGATGATTATGTGGTCGATTGTAAGGGGGGTGTTGCATGAGTCGCACATTGGTCTAGGTTCCTTAGTGATTAAGTAGGAGATATTTGTAATTGAAAATTGTAAATGGTTATTATGTTGAAAACTAAATATTGTTTTTAATAGTTGGTTCATTTTTTGATGAAAATAGAAACTTTAAACTTTAAAACTGTTAAACTGTGTGTTTAATAGTTTTTAAGCCAATTAATTTAACACTCATAAAAATATTTTTTTTTATTTAGCTGCATTAAAAAGTACGTTTTTTTTGGTTTTTATTGTATTGCAAGTCACTCAATATAAAATGCTGGGTAGTTATTAGAAATATTTTATCAATAATTATTTAACCTTTTGTAGATAATATCAGTACGTATATATATTTGTTTTTTGTTTCAATTTATTGAAATTTATTATAGGTATTATTCTGTGTGATTATTCAAGATAATATAAAAATATTAATCATTTTGTATATTTTAGCTTCAATGCCAACTTGTAGATAATAATAGGCATTGAAGATCAGAAAAATTACAGAACATGTTGTTCTTAAATTCTTATTTACATATGAGAAATATTGTTTTCCGAAAATGTCACGTTCAAAATAAAATTTTCAAACTTATTCAAATTAAACTATTTCCTATAAAATGTATTTAAAATGTTCTTATATAAGAATAGAAATGAAGTAGGATTCTATAAACCAAAATTTAAATACCTTTAAAATTTGAAGCAAGCACTCAAATAATAAGGGTATTTTTAAACATGCAAAATGCAAATAATCAATATTTTTAATATCTACGCATCAGAATTCTTTCATTTTCATTAGCGATATAGAAAACACGAAGAGTCAATCACACTAAATACAACAATAAATTTCATATTGTATTTATTTTTTTGCAGCAACGATTTGTGAGTATAAATTATATTTTTATTGCCATATCTGTATGTCCATTATACCTTTTCCTTGGATGACCAGATGACAAATACACAATTGTTGTCTAGGCACTTAAGTATACGTATATCCTCCCGTTTTGATTTTTCAGAAGCTATTCAACCCAAGTCTAACCTAACTTAACCTTTAATTCTTTTACATTGTAATCATATTATATCATATAATATATAGGTATACATATCATAGGTATTATAATGATTGTCTTCAAACGAGTTACACATTTATGCCTTGATTTTTTGACTCTTGGTCAGTAAACGATATAGTGTACTTTAATATTCATCATTTATTAATTAATTTCAACTTTTTCAAAAGCGTAGTTTTTATTTATTTGTTTGATTTACTATGCCATATTGCATATAAATAATTAATTATTGAAGTTGAGAAAAACATTTAATAACAATCTTGACAATCTAGACTTATTCTTAAATTAATCATGATTTGCCTATAATGTCATTTAATCTATTTTAATTAATTAAACATAATTATTTACAGTAAATACAAGTAGGTATTTTTTGATTATTTCTTAATATATAAGTTATTATGTATGGAACTTATATTTTAAATTTTTTTATTTTTTGACTAAACCTATTATATAATTTAAAAATATTTGGGATTTTGATAAAGTTCATACAATTTTGAACTTCAACGGTTATAGAAAAAATTATGACTACGTGTATTTTCTCTATTTTCTAAATAAGTCACTTTTGAGGAATCATGCAATACATTTCCAATTTTTTTAAACTTATAATACATCATGTAAATAAATATACACTATGATTATTACCACT